TTTTACTTTTTTGTTTGAAAAATCACTGACATAATATATTTTAATTTTAATTAAAATAAACTTTATCAGAAATCTTTTTTAAATGTAATTATTTTTTTGTAAATGTAAGTATTTTTTTTGTTATATTTGTTTAATTTTATAGATCTAAATACTTTTTTGTTCAAAAAATATTTAGGGGCTTAATCGTTCAAAATATGAATGTTCATTGAGTTTTTTTTTGGATTTTTTTCACTATTTTACCACTTTAACTAGTTGTACAAGTCATAAGAATGTATCCAACATGTTTTATAAAAGTTCAAGAAGTTATTTAACATGTTTTGGATTGTTCAAGGATTTATTTGTTCCAAAAATTGTCCAAGGAGTTATTTAACATTTTTTGGAATGTTCAAAGACTTATTTATTCCAAAAATTGTCCAAGGACTTATTTAACATATTTTGGAATGTTCAATGACTTATTTGTTCCAAAAAATTGTCCAATGACTTATTTAACATGTTTTGAAATGTCCAAGGACTTATTTATTTCAAAAAAAAGTCTAAGAACTTAATCATTCCAAACAAAAAAGTCCATTAGTTTTTATTGTACTTTTTCTTTAATTTTCTACTTTTAACACTCTATTTAAATAAAACTTAGCACATCTATGTCGTTTTCATTGACTAATTTTGGGCCATACATGTAAGTGCATATGCTTAAAAAAATATGATTGCTTACCAAAGCGTCATTGTCTTCGCGGTATTTTATATTTGCATTACAAGTAGATTCCAACTTTTCAGGAGATTAAGATTTTAAGTCCAACAAAAAATAATAAATGTATCTGAATTTTATGTATATTAGAAGAGTACTCGTGTAATGCAGCGAGATACATCTTAATTTTGATATTTCCTTTTATTTTGTTAACGTCGATATTATAATACGATTTTTTGTATTAATGAAAAAACGATAATGTTTTTATTTTTTGAATAAAGGGGGTGTTTAGGATTGCTTATAAAAGTTGTTTTTTAACTTATTTCAGTATGGCACCGGTGATAAGTTGTTTTCTGGTGTTTGGATAAGGAAAAAAAACTGTTTATACTGGTGCCAAACCGGTAATAAGCTATTTTTGATAAGTTAATCCTTTCTGACTTGTGAAAAACTGCTTATTACCAGTTTACAATTTTAACTATGTTTAATTAACTCCGGTTTAATACCATATAAGTTAATAAGCACTTTTACAAAAAAAAACATAAGTTGTTTTAAATAAGCAATCCCAAACACCCCCAAAGTATAAAATTTGAAGGTATTATAAAATTTTGAAAAAAAATGTATCAACTTTAATATTAAATTAAATATTTAAAAGTTCTTGTTTTTTTTCCTTAATTCAATTTTTTATTATAATTTAATTTAGATTTAATAAAGAAGTCATTTATGTTTAGTTTAATAATATAATTTTTTTATAGAGATAATAATTAAATATTTTGTTAAAACTCAATTATTTTCCTAATTATATTTTAGATTTTGTATATTTAAAATGAGATGTTTATCTTCTATTTGATTATGTTTATCGGCAGTTAGTTACACGAATTCAAATATGAAGTTTTAATAAGTTGTACTTATGCACAATTTACTTGTAATCTTGAATTTTAAGTAATATGAATCAATAAACAGTACTTCATGCATAATAAACGGTTTTTAAGAGTTTTTGTCAAATGCTTTATAATATAGTATAGATAATGCACTTATACCTACTATACACATCAAGATC